GGGGGAGAAGGAGGTTGAAAATTTTTTCCCGCACATTCCAAAACAAAAGGGTCAAAAAAAATTTTCCGGACACAAACCAGTTAAATTAAGGGTCAAAAATTTTTTCCAGACAAATTCCTGTTAAAACATGGGTGAAATTTTCCCCCCATTTTTGGACCAATATCTGTAAAATTTAGGTCTATAAATTATATTCAATTCCTTCTGGAAGCCCTGTAAGTTACTTAATAACTCTACATTTTATCATTTAAAATCTTTGATTTCCCTGCCAATCCAGATGATTCGCCCTGCCAATCCAAATGATTCGTACTTTGGGGGGTGTCACCCCCCCCCCCATGCCCCCCTCAAGTTTCGTCCCTGACTCTAACCACCGAACGTGTTCAGCATCGTGCCATTAAGTTCATCCTATCTCTGCCATACCAAACAGATATCTCGTATATAAGGATTAAGGAGAGATTGCAGATTCTCGGCATCATCCCTCTATGTTACTGGCACGAATATTTAGACATCATTTATATCTTTAAAAGTTTCGTAAATGACTCTGACAGTAACATTTCAGTCAAACAAGAAGTGCAAGTAAAGGAACTTTCCTAAATGTGGGAAAATGCAGAACTGTCAACTACTAGAATAGTCAATAAAATTTTAATATAGCTTTCTCGATATATAAACAATCTTAACAGCTTCAAATTACTCAAATATATTTATTCACGAGTCCAGAATTTCAATGATGATCTCATTAGCGAAAACGGTATCAACATGTCGTTTGTTTTTTCGTTGTTTGTTTCAATTTGTGGCCTGTTAATTTGTTTATCTGTTTATTAGTACACACGTAAAAACGCACAAGTTGTTCCAGGTCTGTAAACAAGTTGTTATAAATCTGTTCACAAGCTGTCAACAAGTTGTGTTCGCACTGCTTGTTCCCAGTTGTTGTAACAAGTTTGAAACAAGCTGTTAATTAACAACTTGTAACAAGCTTGATGGCATTATCAGACTTGTAGCAAAGTTGTTCTAACAAGTCTGATACAGTCATGATATAACAAGAATGTTACAAGGTTAACGACACAAGGTTCTAACAATATTGTTATATCATGACTGTATCGGACTTGTTGAAACAATCTTGCAACAAGTCTGATAATATCAACAAGGTTGTTACAAGTTGTTAACAGCTTGTCCAAACTTGTTGACAACTTGGGACAAGCAGTGCGAAGACAACTTGTTGGCAGACTTGCTACAAAATGTGAGAATGTATGTCTAATATCTGTCACGCCATAGTGACAGCAAGTTATTGTCAGGGCGCTTATATAATATATATATATATATATATATAAGCGCCCTGGTTATTGTTGTGCTTATGTACACGCGTCAAAATCTCACATTTTGTAGCAAGTCTGTCAACAAGTTGTCTTCGCACTACTTGTGTCCAAGTTGTCAACAAGTTTGGAACAAGCTGTTAACAACTTGTAACAATCTTGTTGATATTATCAGACTTGTTGCAAAGTTGTTCCAACAAGTCCGATACAGTCATGATATAACAATATTGTTACAACCTTGTGTGATCAACCTTGTAAAATTCTTGTTGTATTATGATTGTATCAGACTTGTTAGAACAACTTTGCTACAAGTCTGATAATGCCATCAAGCTTGTTACAAGTTGTTAACAGCTTGTTCCAAACTTGTTACAACAACTGGGAACAAGCAGTGCGAACACAACTTGTTGACAGCTTGTGAACAGACTTGTAACAACTTGTTTGTAGACTTGTAACATCTTGTGCGTTTTTACGTGTGTATGTTGTGGAACTCGTTATTAGAGATTTTATCTCTGTGTGGTCATTCCAGCCATTGTGTGTAATTTATAGTTAGTTTATATCTTTAATAATGGCAAACTTGTAAATAAAATAAAATATAATTGGATGAATACTTGGAAACTGAAACTGCTTTGCATAACGTACATATCTGTCTCGTGCGCCCTGAAAGATGTTCCATTTGAATCGCGTAATTTAATCATGAAACATTATTTCTAACACAGACCGACACACGTAAAAACGCACAAGTTGTAACAAGTCTGCAAACAAGTTGTTAATTACAAATCTGTTCACAAGCTGTCAACAAGTTGTGTTCGCACTGCTTGTTCCCAATTTGTTGTAACAAGTTTGAAACAAGCTGTTAACAACTTGTAACAAGCTTGATGGCATTATCAGCCTTGTTACAAGACTGTGCTAACAAGTTTGTTACAGCCATGATATAACAAGGATGTTACAAGGTTGTCAACACAAGGTTGTAACAATCTTGTTATATCAAGCATGGAACGGACTTGTCATAACAACCTTGCAACAAGTCTGATAATTTCGACAAGGTTGTTACAAGTTGTCAACAAGTTGTTCCAAACCTGTTGACAACTTGTGACAAGCAGCTGTGCGAATACATCTTGTTGACGGTTTGTTGGCAGACTTGTTACAAGATGTGAGATTTTTACGTGCGTACACAAGACCTACTACACACGTAAAAATCTCGCAATTTGCCAACAAGATGTGTTCGTAACAAGTTTGCAACAGGCCTGTAGTAGCTAGGCTTGTAGCAAGCTTGTCAACATGTTGTAACAATGCTGTTAATATTTTATCAAGTTGCTACAAGGTTGTCACTCACAACTTGTTGAGAAATTGTTGAATTGCAGGACGATAACAAGTTGTTGGGACAACTTGTAGACCAAGTCTGTTGAGCTTAAAAACCTTGTAGCAAGTTATGAACAAGCCGTTAACATTCTGTTGACAAGTTGTTGGAACAGCATTGCTGCTACAAGTCTGCTGCAGTTTGTTACAACTGGTGCGTTTTTACGTGTGTACCTGGTACTTACAGTAAGTTGTAATTTCTCAATTCTATCATTCAAAGGACAATTAGAGCCGCCCAGCGCGAGCCTGAGCCGAGCCAAGTCAAGACCCGACCTGTAATTGTGATACGTTTGCATTATTTACATCGCAATAGGCCCAGAACTTCGACTCTTTTTACACCACTGCCAGTGTTCACGTGGCTTGTGTATGCTGATGCTGAAAACAATTTTGTACAAAACGTAGTCCGTTAGTATTAATTAAATAGATTAGATATTTCTTCATTACAATTAATTACTAATTCTGATTTTAAGTGTTTGTTAATGTAAGTTTTTAGTATTATTGCTGTAGTTAACAATGGCAAAGTAAGAATCAAAATAAATATTGTCCACGGTGTGTCCACCGGTAGATGAAGTCGACGGTATTAAGTGTAGTGATTTTTAGCGGGAAACGGATTGCCAAATGCGGGAATTTTAAAATTGAAAAACATGGCGGAATATGTGCACACGAGTGTGTTCATGAAATGCTGATTTTTTAAACTTTTCTGTTTCAAAATTAATTCCTTTTAAAGCTTAGCGCTTTCAGTAAAACTCCCAAGACAAAACAATGTAAGTATGGTTAAAGATTTGCCCGAAGGTTTTCAGAAATATTAAACTTTGGTAGAATAAACGGGGATTTTCAGGATTTGAGGATATATAATATATTTTGTTTTATTAATGTTGTACTTTTAGTGATATTACATGGCAGGGAAAGTTGACATGAATAATGAGAATTCAAGGAATTGTACGCCAACTAGGTATTTGAAAAATGGAACCATAATTTTAAAATACAAAAATTTCTTATAATATTTTTACACGACGATGGTATATTGACTACATATTTAATTGGGCTATTACATTTAATATCCGTACCCCCCCTGTCGAGGACCTCATTTTCCAAAGGGGAAATTAGTAATTTTTTCCAGAGGGGTAGTTGGGAAAAATGGAAGAAAAATGCTCTTTCCAGAGGGGTTAAAAAGCAAAAATGCCCTTCCAGAGGGGGTTCAAGTCTCTTCCAGAGGGGTCAATTACACAGATTTTTTTGCATTCCAGAGGGGTA